ATATGGCTTCTCACTATGTTATCATTAAAATATTTGCTTATCACGGATACCAAATGTTCTTTCTAAAAGCCATTCTTTGTTTTTCCCCGTTCCTTAGCCTAGCGACCAACCCGTTAACCATGGCTTCCTCACTACGAGAACCCTGCGAAATGTTACGCGCTCCAATCTGTTAACGAGTAGTACACATATTATCCATTCCTCATCAAAACGTATCATACATATATATCTATGTATACGTTGTTACTGCATCATAAAAATCCAGTGAACACACTGTTCCCACATGGCATTTCCGTCGCAGTACCGCCCGCACTTCGAGGCGTCGATGGCAGCGCGCTCAAACCAACTGTCAGCGCCTTCCATACTTTTTGCGGTTCGTGAAGCTTGCTGAACTCATCACACACCAACGGACGGATTGATGATTGCACACACAGACACATCTTCATATACATTTGCGTTGAATCAAAATCGAGTAGCAGCTAACGAACAAGAGCTTATTGTGCTGCTGATCAGAAGGAACGCGTGAATTACTCGAGAAGCAGCTCATCAATATATCACTACGCATTTGTCTTTCTCTAGCTAATATAGCTGAATAGAAACTTAGAACAAATCACTCTTTATATTTATACTCACGGCTAAATTTAGCCCTTACAATATGCGTGCATTTTACCTAGAAAACGCCGATGCCAACTTTACAATAGATGACTAATGGACGGTACTAGGATATGATCGTAACACAAAACAGAATCTAAGGTCCATCATTCTGCCACTCAACAGACACCCACATTGACCTGTCTGACGTACGTTTCCCACCGGTTCAATCAGGTGGTGCATTAGAAGACAACACCGCGTATCTGCGTTAAACCAACGCCGTATAGCGATCAGCGGCTGGCGTTAGGGTTGGCGCCTCACTATATACGCCCTTTCCAGATACGCTCATTCCCATTCAAGCTAACCCGAACTGGTCCCCGATCGATTTCGTTCCATAATGTAGTCTCTGTCATAAGATTTCGAATAGACGCGCAGTACGAGACAGCACTTCACACAGACCCCGCTGCATTTCTTGGCCATCAATGTGCATCACTAACGTCACGTTACTGCTACAAAACGATGATTACTCGCGTGTGTGGTGTTATCAGAAAATTAGGCCATATCCCAATCATCACTGCCCCGTTGGTCTGCTTAGCTAGTTATTACTACGGCATGACCAATCGCCGTACACTCGATTTTGCTACTAAATTGAACAGGTAAACAAACGCAGCTAGCATACCTCGCCGAGAGTACGTCGTTCGGCAGCAGTGAAGCGGCACGGATTATTTCGGCCAGTGCCGTTATTACTATGACATTGGTTAGTTGGTTTGCTCGTTCGTTGTTTGGCAGGATCTTTTTGCACCAAATGCCGCTATCATTGCTAGCACGACCACTATTGCGATATCTACTTTGATGCTCCCAGGGTAGAATGTGGCTGTCGCTTTGCGACTCGCTGCGGAATGGACTCCGCAGCCATTCGGGACGTGGCCCATTTACCGTTCAAGCTCTGCGATCGCGTCCAAAATTCTAATATCGAAGCAGTCCGTTGCGTGTTCCACGGACGTAGAAACTGCTGGTCGAGTTGAGCTTTTCGTTCGAGCCGAGACCCTTCCTTTGGCCCATATGGGTGGCCACAAGTCAACATATCTAGCATCGGTCGCCCCCATGATCGGATCGGCCATGCCCGCTACGCACATTGCTGCAACTCGCTCCAGGAGCTGACATATCCTGAGAAACCCATCTCAGAGCGATTACTTACCCTATCGGTGACTTCCTATAATGCAAGGCACTGTACAATCGACCGATTTGACGAAGATTTCAGTGAAATTCCACCCACTTCTCGTGTTCCTCCTTTCGATATAAACAAAACAACAACAATAATGTCTGTCTACTTTATGTTCTGGATGGCGGAAACCTCATCCCGCTAAAACAGCGGCAGGCAGCTTTGGCGCCAATCGGCATTCACGTACCACACGCAGCGATCCATAAATTTTCGTCACGGACGTACACTGTCAGTAGGTTCTGATGCCAGTAATCTTCTGGGCTGTGTTCTTCTAATAAGTAGATTAATCCAATGACACCTCATACGGCGTGCGAAATGACTGCAGAAACGCAAACGTCCCCCAGACACTGCCATTTGTCCGGGTGGTCACAATCGTCAACGCGCAAGTAGCATCATTGTATGCCTGCTTCTCTAGCAACCGAGCACGTGCGACTATACGAATTTCAGTCTGAAGCCTGCTCCGTACAAAACTCCAGTAGAGAACTTAAAGGGTCGGCCCATCTGGCTCAGCCAAACCTTTCATTTTAGCGTAGAATAGCGAGTAGATCGGTAACGACACAAAGCCCGTAAGTGTGGTTCCTTGTGGTTCGCTTTCTGTGTTGAGTCTCCTGGTGTCAACCCTGCATGCATGTTTCTGTGGCTCGAACGGTGTCGCCAACCTTGTGAGAAGGTCAACATTCTCTTCTCTACAGACGTGTCGTCACACAGTTACTACGAACGATCGCGGACAGTCGGACAGGCAGACAGACGGAGAGGCCGAGAGGGACACAGAAGAGTCTGAGCGAGCGGGCTACCGCCGATCGAAGACATCTAGAGGTGATAGTGCGGAACCGCTCCAGCATCGACGGGAGAGAATCTCGTAGCGCTGAGAGGGTAAAAACGGCAGCCGCCGTTAATACTAGGCATAGGAACAGACCAAGCAATCAGCGCTAACCATTCCGTAATCATTGTCATTGTCGTTGCTAGCCTAGAGCACCAGGGGCACGAGCAGCGCTGACGGTAACGGCTGAACGAGAAAAGCGCGGGGAGTTGCCTGTGAGATACGACAGAGAGTGATTTTTTTCGGGTAGACTCTTGCGGTCGCTTTTGCTACTTTTGTTGTTGTTGGCGAATTCGCAGCGCCGTCGCCGCAACAGCATTAAGCCGGGACTTGGCTTCTGCAAGCTGCGAGCTGAATGCGCTATAGCCGGTGATATTGCCTGCCGAGTTAGTCGTTGCGACAGGCATTGTTGTAGTAGTACTGAACGTCGGACATCGTATGAAGTCGAATACAACAGTCGGATAGATACACCTTAGAAAAGAAAGAAACAGCAGCTGACTATTACTGCCGTACCGGGTGACTGCCGAATGACTCAATTCTCGACGGTCGCCTGAATTTTCCTGTCCCACTTTATCCCCCCCAACCCCGTTATACCTACACGAACGACCCGTTCAGTTGGGTGGTGTTTGTTGTTCGCGCCCTTGAATTGTTGTGATTGGCGGTAAGCGACCAGGTGAGTACTGTTCCCGTCGCTGTGATGGTGAAGTAGGGATGGTGTTATTATTGCTATTGCGACCAGTATGACGTGTAGCACGCTGCTGGCAAAGGTGACGTTCCGCTCCGCCTTTTAGTCGATGTTAAACGCTGGCGCTGTCGTAGTTATGGTTGTCTTCATTGATCTCCTGCACGAGCTACCTACTGCCAAAGCTGACGACTGAGCGACTGTTGTAGGGGAACCAATGCTAACCGAGAGCGTGTGGGGTTGTCCATGTCAAAGTGAGGAGCGGGGTAGCAGCGGATAGAAGAAGAGCAATTTGAGTTGCTGTCTCGTTAGAGTTGCAGCAAGGCCAGGTGCTATTGCTCGTGGAGTCCGCATAGAAAATATGAAATAACCTAGTGAAGTCAAAACGTGATAGCACTTGTAATTGTGCTGCCATTGGCAACAATGTGAGGGACCCTAGTTGCAAGCAGCGACAGCAATGTGCAAAAATCTTATATTCCAATGAGCCTTAATGATGACACTTTTCTCAATCGCTGAACCCGACCAGTAAAAAATGACTGCTAATCTGCCAAGTCAGTGACATCACATCGCCAACAGATATTGCTTACTAATAAAGGCCGTCAGGTTACCACCAGGAGTCAGGTGTTGTGAAACATGTGTTGTTCTCTTGCTGATAGCTTTAGGTGTTCTGTTCTATTTCAGTTATTTAATTCAGTTAATTAAACGAGCGAGGCTTGCTAAGGTGATCACTACACCGTATTATGATAGCAGTGCTTACGGTGTTTTGTGTGTGAGCACCAGGACTGCCAGGAGCGACCTACCGAGTCAGCGAGCGTCTAAGCCATACGTTAGTTGGTTTATTGATCAGGTGAATCAGAAAGTGTCACTTTTTTGCTCACTCCGTCCATTGAACAGTACTAACTGTAATAGCCCTGTCAGTCAATCTATACGGTTTTCTGATTGGTCTGTTAGCTCGGAGGCGGGTCAAAAATATAAGATATCTGATATTTTTGACCCGTTATTTTGTTGGCGTCACAACAACGAATGTCAATTATGGGAGGATCAGTTTAGTGCTTGGTGGTAGCTCGTCTGAACTGCTAGACAGGTTCAGAGACGAGATTCGTTACGGAGTGTGACGTATCGCTAGTGTTTCTAAATTAAGAAATAAGGTGCAGTCAACCCTTGTGTACGGCGCAGTTCAAGAAAAACGGCAATAATTGGAGAGAACTAGTCTGGACTGACAAAATTTACTGCTACTACTAACACTACTGCTTTGACGATTAGGAATAGTTACGTGGTGGCGACGACAGCGGGAAAAAATGTTATTTGAAAGGTACGTTGGTAACTGATGATTGATTCTATTTGTTCACTGTTTAAGACGTAGCAATATCGAGATCAAATGAATATGGGCCGAATGAAAGCTGGTCTTTAGATCCGATAACACCAAAAACATATTTCAGCTAAAATAATTGATACTTCCAGCTACCCAAGAGATATCTGTTAGATAAAGTCTCATATGTAAACTACTGTGCGTATTAATTGCAAATAATACTGCTCTCGATGTTCGTTTTATTTTGGGTGTATTTTTTGCTTCGAACAGCACCGGTCGTTCACGTATAAAGCAACATA